TCAAGACCAGCTTGGGCAACATGGTGAAACCTTGTCTCTACAAAAATAAAAAAATGTAAAAAGCCAGGCATGGTGGTGTGAGAGGACTGCTTGAGCCCAGGAGGTTGAGGCTGCAATGAGCTGAGGTTGTGCCACTGTACTCCAGCCTGGGCAGTAGGGCAAGACCCTGTCTTAAAAAAAAAAAAAAAAAAAAAGAAGAAGAAAGAAAATCAAAGAAGTATACAAGAGAATATTCATTCTAATCATACATAAAAAGCAACATTTAAAAAAAATTGACAGTAAAGCACTGATTATTAAGCAGCCACTAAAAGAATATTTTGGTGAATATACAATGAAATAGGAAACTATGAAATGAAAAAAAAATTAAATATACAATGTGATCTAATATAGTAAAAATGTACTTATATATGGAAAAACGCTAAAAGGAAATTGATCAAAATGTCAATAGCAGTTATCACTGAGTGGTAGAATTACAACTGATTTTTATTTTCTTCTATCTACTTTCTTCAATGAGCACATAATTACTTTCTTAAAATTCAAAACCCAAATCAAGTGGAAAATAAGAAGACAAGGCTCAGTTTAAAAAAGAAAATTAGGCTGGGAGTGGTGGCTCACACCTGTAATCCCAGCACTTTGGGAGGCTGAGGTGGGCAGATCACCTGAGGTTGGGAGTTCGAGACCAACCTGACCAACATGGAGAAATTCTGTCTCTACTAAAAGTACAAAATTAGCTGGGCGTGGTGGCGCACACCTGTAATCCTGGCTACTTAGGAAGGCTAAGGCAGGAGAATCACTTGAACCCGGGAGGCAGAAGTTGCGGTGAGCCAAGATCACGCCATTGCACTCCAGCCTGGGTAACAACAGCAAAACTCCGTCTCAAAAAAATTAAAAGGAAAATAAAAAGGAAAAAGAAAATAAAATTAAAAATTTAAATAAAAAGATCAAGAAACGTCTTTTTTTTTTTTTTTGAGACTGAGTCTTACTCGTCTCCCAGGATGGAATGCAGTGGTGCAATCTCGGCTCACTGCAACCTCCATCTCCTGGGTTAAAGTGATTCTCGTGCCTCAGCCTCCTGAGCTGCTATTACAGGTACGTGCCACCATGCCCGGCTAATTTTTGTATTTTTAGTAGAGACGGGATTTCACCATCTTGGCCAGTCTGGTCTTGAAGTCCTGACCTCAGGTGATCCACCTGCCTCAGCCTCCCAAAGTGTTGGGATTACAGGCGTGAGCCAGCACACCCGGGCAAAAACTGTCATTTTTTTAAAAAGGACATAGTTCTTACAAGTTTGCTTCTGCTAAACAGTGGTTCTCAAACTTGAATGTGTGTTAGAATTACCTGAAAGGTTTGTGAACAGAAACTGCTGCCTCTGCCCCTCCCTCTTATTCAGTAGGTCTGGATGGGGCTCCAAAATTTGCATTTCTAACAAGTTCCACTTCGCTAAAAGACAGCAACACAGAAAGCCTATATGGTGTAATGAAAATGATGTGGGTTTTGAGGTCAGTCTTGGCTCTGCCCTTTTCAAGATGTTTTGTAGAAACAGTTGACAGACTCTAACCCTGCTCAACCTCTGTTTCCACACCAGTAAAAGTAATGCACACCTCATAGATGTATTGTGTGGGTTAAATGGTATGATTAAATACCCAACATAGTGCTTGACTTAGTTAAGCATTTTAATTAATGGTGGTCTCCTTTCCTTTGATTTCCTCAAAGATATAGCACACTGGGTTTATGGTGACATGATTTAGGTGTACCACAGGTCAAATCATTTCCTTCAAACCTAACAAACCATACATGTTCATCTGCTAACAAAATCTTCATGTTCATCTATAAAATTGGGAATAATATTATAACAGTATTTTCTTTGATAAAATAGATAATACTGTCTACTTTGGAGGCAAACATGAAGATTAAATAAAATAATATTGGCCAGGCATGGTGGCTCCCATCTGTAATCTCAGCACTTTGGGAGGCCGAGGTGGGAGGATCACCTGAGTCCAGGAGTTTGAGGTCAGCCTGGGCAACAAAGCAAGACACCATCTCTATTTTTTATATAATTATTAAAAAAAAAATAGGCCAGGCGTAGTGGCTCACGCCTGTAATCCCAACATTTTGGGAGGCCAAGGTGGGTGGATCGCCTGAGCTCAGGAGTTCGAGACCACCCTGGGCAACATGGTAAAACCCTGTTTCTACTAAAATACAAAAAATTAACCAGGCACGGTGGCACACACCTGTAGTCCCAGCTACTCAGGAGGCTGAGGCATGAGAATCGCTTGAGCCTGGGAGGCAGAGGTTGCAGTGAGCCGAGATCATGCCACTGCACTACAGCTTGAGCTACAGAGTGAGACTCTATCTCAAAAAAAATAAAAAAATAAAAAATAAAATAAAATAAATAAAATTAAAATAAAACAATAAAACAAGATAATACATATATTTTTAAATTCTGTAACTAGCATATGGAAGATACATAGTGTTAACTGAAGAATCCCAAGGTTTATAAATTTCGAGAGGAGAGCTTTATTTCTTATAAAGAGTTGCAGCCTGCAGGTTGGTGATCCTGATGGGCTGGGAAGTGCAGACTCTGGCACTGAAAGCAGGTATTTAGAGGGAGGAAAGAGTGGAAAACAAATTTATGCCAAATGAGTTGGCTAAGAATACACACTTAAGAACTTACAGGAGCTTTGATTATTCACAAAGCAGGGGGTAGTACATGCATGCATAGTGAGTAAACATGCATGTTACATATGTCCTATGTTCTCTTTGGGGTGGAGATTTAACATTTAAATGCATTACAACTAGGTGAAGCAGAGGACATGAAGGTACTCAGTGCACGGCCATTGAAAACCAGCCAGAACCAGTCTGTGGTTGGTAGTGTCTTACTAGGATGTTACTGAAATCTGTCTCTTGTCCAATCAAAACTGTACTTATGGTTTGTGGAACATGGGTTGGGGGGATACAGTTAGTCAGCATCTGGTGGTCAGTGAGCTACAATTGTTTCAATATTGCTTATCTCCAGACCAGTGTCTATTTAGCTACCAGAGAAAAAGAAAAACCTTGTGGCAGTTAGAAGATGGTTTACTCTTCAAGTGTAGGGATGTGTGACTTAACCCTTGCCTGATATAGCCTTAGGTCTTGTTTATAATTTGGCATCTTATTGCCTCAAAGAGTCTGTTCCATCAGTTATAAGATCGCTATTGTAACAATAGTAAATGTCACTTTCTTTTCGCACTCCCTTTTAATATTTACCCATAGCATCTTCCACACCTAGTTCAAAACACATCTAGGATACTTCAAATCAATCTTTCCACCTTAATCAGATAGCTCTGTTTTGTGTCACATTTAAAGTAAATTATTTACTTTATTTAAGTACTGCTAAGAACACACTCTATGTAAACTATTATACTGGATGCCCAAGGAGATAAGTGGAAGATGGTTCTCTGGCTTTGAGGTGTTTGGTTGAGGCAGCAATATACATTAAAAGTTGAATAGGAATGCCAAGCAGGGTGGGACAAATTCTACAGAAAGTAAGTGTGATAGTTTTGAGATTATAGTGGTTGATCTGTTCATTATTTTGTACTCAGGAACTAAAAAATTACTAAGAGTTGTAAGAGCTCTGGTTTTACAACTGAGATAATAAGCCCAGTGACACAAGTGGTCTAAGGTCCCAGCTATGAAATGGCAGAGGTTTCCTGTCTCCTGGTCCTATGCTGCTTGTGCATAGGTTCCTAACTATTCACTAGTCTTTTAAGCAGTTAATGTTTGCTCTCTCTGACACTTTAGTATAGCCAGGTAAGAACTGGGCTCTGAAGCTAAAATGTTTGGGTTTGAATCCTGGCTTTGCTATTTACTGTGTGACTTTGGGTAAGTCACTAATCTCTTTGCTTTACTTACCCAGCTATAAAATAATAGTGGTACTTTACTTCATAGGGTGGCTTTGAGCATTATATACTTAATATATGTAAAGCAAGAAAAACTGTGGATTTGTCATTATAATTGCTATTTGTCTGTGAGGGAATGGAGGGCAAGTCATCTGTTTTTTGTTTTTTAAACCTCTTCCCTCAGCTTCTGATCAGAGCATTCATGTGGGTGTTCAATAAATGCATGTTAGCTACCTTAAGCGTATTGGGAGTTTTTGTATCACTGAAGTAAGACTTGAGATTTGTGTAAGCCTGGACTAGTCTGGTAACAGGAAAGTCTAGAAAGGTAAAAACTGAGCATCGGATTGATTTTAGGACCTAGCAGAGCTTCTTTAAAAAAAAGTCAAGACAAAAAAGTGCTGAGAAAAATGGGGGTCAATGAGTCTAATTCCAAAAGAGCTTTCTCATCTATTTTAAGGTCTGTTTCAAACTTCCTTAGACAAAAATCTGGCCTTTTAAGGAAAGTGCAGAGAACATGCCTTCGTGGGCTTAGTTTGAGGGAATAGGTGCTGCATTTCACCCTGGAGGTGGCTTCGTGAATTTGTGAACTGAGGTGACAACACAGACTCTCTCCGGAAGAAAAGATGCTATCTCTACACGGAGTTTAATTACAATGGCACTACTTTAAACAAGCAGCAACAGCAGCAGCACCAAACGCCACTGTTAGCCCAGTCAGAGCTCAGCTCCGTATTCAGAATAGAGAAAGCAAGAACCATTTTTTTTCCCTGGGGCACCCTTCTCTACTCAAATACTGCTGAAAAAAATTCTGAGACAAGCACTAGGGAGTGGGGATAGCGGGCGGAAATGAACAATAACCCATATTCAGGGGTTAGAAAAATCATATTAGTAAATCATGGCAGGTTTTTTTGTTTGTTTTTGGCAGGAACTTGCCACTCTTCAGCATCATCCATCAGGAAATCTAGGGTCGGAAAAGTGTACCAACTGGTTTTCCAAATTTTCTGCATTTGGCAGATGCAAATCACAGAGTCCATCCCCACCCTCAGCACTTGGACAGTATCAGGGAAACGTAAGTATCAGTGGAAGAATCTTGAAGTGAGAAATAAATAACTGGTCAGGTTAGGGTTAGTGTTCTTGTGTGCAAGGGGGCTAGTGAAGGTCAGGCTTTGGGACGCAACCACAGCGTCAGCAAAGGAGGAAAAATTAAGGGGCAGCATGGGCTGAAAAGCCCCCGAGTTTGAGGTTAAGCCAACGGGCTGGGCCTCTGGTATCCTAGGATCTGCCTTGCACACAACCTTTGGCCGTTTCTCGGTTTGAATATCGCCTGTACACTTTCAGACGAGACACTGTCTTACTGAGCGTTCTCACAGCGCCTAGCTCAGAGCTGACCGCAGAGCCGGCTCTCAATAACCTCTAGACGCAAAAGCAGCTTTTGAGGTTAGGGGCGAAGGGCATCGGTTTTACTTATTTTAAGGCTGGCGCTCCGGTGCAGCCGGATCCAACTGCCAGCACAATGTTCCCGATCACTTCTCGCTTCCATTTCAGCCCAGGTAACGTCGGGAAACCCACAGGACCCACTAGGGGCTAAGCGGTTAAGCTGGCGTCCTTCGGGTGTCAGTCTCGATCCGTTCGGAAACCACAAAATCCAGAATCCCTTGTGCCAGGAGGCCAGGCCGCAAATAAGATGGCTCCAGAAGAGTGGAACATACAGCGGCGGGGAACCTAGTCGTTGGCAGTTTCTTCACGGGATGTGTTTAAATTGCCGAGTCCCCATATATGCACCACCCCACAAACCTCCTTCCAGGCCGTGGAGGTCACGGCTGCCGCCTCGCCCGCTCCTCCAGGAGCATGCTGGGATTTGTAGTCCAGCCGCCGGACTGCGCCTAGCTACCTTTCCCAGCTTGCTCTGCGGCTCGGGTGATATCAACAGTCTTTTCCAGAACTCTGTCTGCACTGAGACCCCCTTCGCCCGGTCCTCTTCTCGCCGTCTACTCCTTCCCATCTGTGGCGACAGAGCGGCGGTTGCAGGAGAGGCCCCGGTCCCTCGCCGCGCCGCCCCAAGCGGCACTTCCGGCGGCGGTTCACTTCCTGGTTGGGTGGATGGAGCCGGGCGGGAGCGCGCGCGGGGGAGGGGCGGCGGGTCAGTCTCCGCCCGGCGCTCCCGGGATCAGCTGGCGGGCGGGCTGGAGCCGAGCGCGGCCCCGGCTCTCGCTGCAGCGCCGCCTCCTCTCTGCGTCGCAGGCCGGCCCGGCGGCCGTGACAATGTCGCGGGGCTGGTAGCTGGGCGCCGGCCGCCGAGCCGTCTCAAGTGGGTGCTGCCAGGATGCTGCCTGGGGCGGCGGGGAGACCCGGGAGGAGCGGGAGGCAGTGCCCGGGAGGGTCGGCGCTGCCCCAGCAGCTCGGATCCCTCCTTTTTCCGAGCTCCAGGCTCGGGGATCCCGGGTTCTGGGGCCGGGGTCGCGTTTTCAGCCCCAGGGTTTTTCTCGCCAGGAAAATATATGAAGCGTTTCCCCAGGATGATGGCTTTTGCTCCCCCTAGGACTCAGCGGTTGAATTTTTAAGTGTGTTACTGATTCATCCTCTCTCTCTTCCTCTGTCATCACAGGTTTAAACTTACACGAATCGCTTTCTGGAGGAGGAGGGGACCCGCCGCGCGATTGACACGCATATTCCTATAGGCATCCTCCCTCAGCCCCAACCCCCACGGCCGGATTCGGGTGGCTCCTCTCTGAGCTGAAATCCGAGAAGAAATCCTTGGATCTCTTTTCTAAAAAAAAAAAGAAAGAAAAAAAAAAAATCTAGAAACCATCGGTATTTTGCTTTGCTGCTCCCTATTCGCAAGATGAAGAAGTTTTTCGACTCCCGGCGAGAGCAGGGCGGCTCTGGCCTGGGCTCCGGCTCTAGCGGAGGAGGGGGCAGCACCTCGGGCCTGGGCAGTGGCTACATCGGAAGAGTCTTTGGCATCGGGCGACAGCAGGTCACAGTGGACGAGGTGTTGGCGGAAGGTACGGTGTAGCTCAATGCGCCGTAAATTAAAATCTTGTGCTGATGCGGCAGTACTGTGGTTTCTAGTTGTTGCATGTATGAATGGGCTTTGACCAGTTGACCCTCCCTTCCCCCTTCACTTGCCCTGTGAGTCATTGTCCTTGAGAGATTTAAAATTGAGATTTGAAAGTGACTGGGCTTATGGGGGTGTGGGGAGGTTGCCGAAATTGTTTACATTAGTGGCCTGTTATTTTTATTTTTTTAATATTGAGAAGCCAAATTTTGAGGATCACACAAGAAAATGTGTGAAAGTGTAAAGCTTTATGCCAAAGGCAGGGTGATGGGCTTGTCATCCTCCTAAAACTTAAAATCTTGATGTGAAGGCTGAAGGGTGGGGATGGGGGGACTTTTAAGAAGAGAGGGGTTTCTCCTTCTCCTACCCAACTTTCCTACTTCCATGAGCAGGCATTGGAAGGAAGGGAGGATTTTCGGAGAATGTGAACGTGTTTTTCCAAGGGCCAAGGCTCTTGGTAGATTTCACTAGTAGGTTTGTTTCCTGACCCAACTGTAATCGGGTCCCCAGGATATAGCAAAGATAACAAAAATTATATAAAACAAATGTGGTTATTTTGAACTCAGTCTGGTAGGCCCCTCTTCCTCTCGCTTTAGTTTTTTTTTTTTTTTAAAACCAAAAGAAAAATTACTTGAGAGTGGCTCTGATTTTGTTTTTTCACTGTCAGAGAGGATGTTATTTAGATCTGCTGTGTAAATTCCTCTGTGTTTCATCTGTGTATCTATACTCAGGTAGATATACATCTTTTTTCCTCCAGGCTTTCGGGAAATCTTTGCATGTCTCTTTTGGTAACCTTAACCTCGACCTTCATAATTATGCCAGACTCATACTTTTCACAGCCCATCGCCTGCCTAGTGTGCTTTTATTTTTAATAAAAGCAGCAATTTCCTTGGCATGAAGCAATTCAGACTAATTGGATGGGGCCGACCTGCTGTAGGTTGTGTTATAGACAGAGAGGGGTTGGAGGAAGGGAGAGGTCTCTATTACTGCAACATGGTGGTGGAAGGGAACAGTTTTATTACCGAGGGAAGAGAGAAAGCTAAGAGGCCTCTTTAAAAAGGGGTGTTTTGCAAGCTAAAGTTGAAGCAAGGGTCCTGACCTGGGCCTGGGAAATGCTTACCATGGTGGGTGTTGCAGGCTGGTGGGTGGGTTTGGAAGAGGAGGAAACTGTTTGGCTCTTAGCTTGTGTAAGCACTGGATTCAGCAGGGCCCAGTTTTCTGGGAATAGAGTTGAAGCCTGTACTTTAAAAACACGATTTTTAAAAAAGATGTCTGACAGTTAATGTCCGTGTGAAATTATTGCTCTTCTAATCTCAGTACTGCTCTAGCTGGGCTTTATCTGGGGCCTGAGTCACTGTCCCTTTGGATCTTTCCTGTGGACTTTGGTGCAGGTTGGGAGATGCTTCTGTGCCCGCTGCCAGATCCGCACCCTTGAGTCTGATCTGTCTCTTTCATCCCTGTGCCAAAGCCCTTAACTGCAGTGGGGTGGAGAAATGGTGAAAAGGAGAGTGGGTCAGAGAGAAATCAGGAGAAATGAAGGGCCACAGAGCACTTTCCTCCCCTCTGAATGGCCTCTGCTGACCTTATAGCCCATGAGCATTTTGTTCAGCTAGGATGTTGTCTCATCAAGGGTGATGCTGCCCTAAGCGGTGCATGTTCTCCAAGTGTGAGAAGAGTGATAGGGAAGAGAAAAGGCAAAATTGGTCTTTGTTACCTAGGCTGCCTTCCTCTTCTCTGGGGTTCATCCTTGAGAACTGCGCATCATGTATTGTGATATTTTTACGTGGAATTTAGGACTTGCAGCTCTGCATTTATTCATTCAGCAGTTTATGGAGTTGCCTGTGAAGTGCCAGGTGCTGTGCTAGGTTCTGGGATATGCTGTTAAACCAGAGCTGGCCTTTACCAATTGCTTTAAGAGATGGAAAATAGCCAGTTATAGTGGATTGATAAATGCCATCATAGAGATAAACTTAGGGTGCAGTGGCCCCCAGTTTTAGGGAGCCCAGGATCATTTTCTGAAGGAAGTGACTGAAGAGTGAGTAGGAGTTAGTGTGGTGGCACTGTGGGCAAAGACGGAGTAGCAAGAGAGAATGTCACGTAAAACTGGGTCTGGCTATGCTGCCCTTTTTGTGTTCTTTGGCTTAAGTTGAGTTTGAATTTGTGGTTCTTAGAAGTATGTAGAAATGTAGGAGCCAGTATACAAAGTATTTATGTAGCACCTACCAAGTCCAAAGACCGTATGAAGTTCTGAGATGAATAAGGGAGGTCTAAAGTGTGATTGAATCTGCCTTTAAGTTTCTGCCAATGAATTTGGGAAGATGAGGCATACATTCACACATACAGTAGCATGGTTACCGGCACTGTCTATAGAGTCAGACAGATCTAGGTTCAAATTCTGGATCTGTTCTTTACTAGCTGTGGAACTGTAGGCAAGACATTCCAAACCACTCTTGAATCTCTGTTTCCCTGTGGCAGTGGTTCTCAAAATGGGGCATCCTTATCACCTGCAAGCTTGTTGGAAATGGAGATTCTCAGGCCTCACTACATAGGCTGTGGGTGTGGGGCTTAATAAGTTCCTGGAGAGATTCTGATGCAAGGTCAACTTTGAAAACCACTGCCTAATGGGCTGGTCATGAAGATTAAATGAGGCAATATATATAATTCACGTTTTCAGGTGTTCAATAAATGGTAGCCATTACCTACCAGCAGCATTATACATCATATGTATATATGTGGAGAGAGAGAGAGAGAGAGTGTGTGTGTGTGTGTGTGTGTGTTAAAGGGGAGTGGGAGCAATGTGAAAGCTAGTTGAGCTGCAGCAATCTGAAGCAGTTCCTTTCCCCCATTGTTAGGGGATAGAGCCAGATGTTCTTTGCAGAGTCCTCACCAGCTCCTTAAAGGCCTAACAGATGTTTTGGGTAGCCACGCTCCTTCCCTGCGCTCTCTTCCCTGTGAGTCCCCAAGTGCGGACCTGTCTACAGTCCTAGCCAGAGTTGTTTAAGGACCATGGGAGTTGTACCCTGGGTGCCCAGAGCAGTGGCCAGGCAGTTTAGGGAGGAGTGGTGTGAGAGGCTTCAAAACACAGACCAGATTACCACCACATTCCACTGATGATCTCTTTTTCTCTGGTGCGGGTATTGGTGTGTGCTTTTTCGTGAGGAATTGCAAGAACCCCAAGGAGCAGGTGCTGGGCAAGACAAAAAGATGCTGCACTGCCATATCTCCCCTGGTATATCAGCCTTCCTGGCCTGGTTTCACTAACTAGTCCAGCAGGGGCTGTTTGGGGGAAGTGAAGGCTTTAAGTTATGAGTTTAGAGGAATATGGCTATTTCTAGGCTGGGTGCCAGGGAGAATATTTTCTTTCTAGCTTTCTCAGCGAAGATGCCATGATGAGATGCTAAATCATGTCTAAGTTAATAGGCATATGATGTCAAGGGAAGATTTGGTTTAAGCTTCCAGAATGAGCTCAATGGGAAAATTGGAGCAATGTTCAAGGAAGGCTTGAGAAGCTGTGCTTTTATCATACTTCCTTAGCTATACGAGGACTTATATCTAAGCTTTAAACAATAAATGTTTGTTTATTTATTACTGTATTCAAGACAACATTCTGGAGCTATAAGGTGGACTAGATGGCTCCTCAGAGCAGTTTTCTAATTTATATTGAAGGAATCCAGATCCAAGGCTGATGAGAAGTACCAAATGTCCACATCAATAAACTTTGATAATTTCTCCTACCTACATAGCGAACTAGTAAGGCTTAAAAATGTGTGTGAAACCACTAAAAATTCCATTAAAGGCACCTAATTCTAATGTGTTGGTGGTATCAATATGAAACACATATGTGCCTCTTTGTGGCAGGCACTGTATTAGGTTCCAGAGATCCTGAGATGGATGGGACACAGGCCTGACTCTTAACAGAGCCCAACACCTGAGATAAGTGTCCAGCACTTAAGCGTGGCCTTTGACATACATACCTTAGATGGCAAAGGATGTTATGATAAAGAGCCTGGGGGTGAGAGTTCGCAGGTGACATGAAGTTTGAACAGGAATAGAAATTGCCCAGCAGATGTTCCAGATGGGGGTTACCCAGGCCCTCTCAGGCTGAGAGAATCGCATAGGCAAAGTGGTGAAACAGCCTGATACATTTTGAGAATACTGACTAGTTTAGTGTTACCATTTTCGTCAGTACACATTTCCTCCCCAGAATCAAGGAAAGAAGGACAGAGGACACGGAGTGGTAGAATGAAATTCTTTAAGTTGCTCCCTGGAGGTGCTTGCTGCTTACTTTCTTCAGTGGCCCTGGACCTTTTGAATGACTGATGAATAGATACCAAGAATGCATGGCTCCCCTCCTGTGCCTCAGCCCTGTGCCAATTGTGGGGAAAGGGAGCAGCGAGTGTCTGGGGAAAGAGTGGTCCCAGAAGGTTTGATAAGAGGCTAGAAGCTTAAGCAGAAGCAGGCAGGGAAGGGAATTGACCAGTGTTACCGAAAGGTGTGAACAGGGGAGATAATGAGGATGTTTGACCAGAGCAGAAGGTACATTGGAGAGAAAAAGAAGGACGAATTTTGTGGAGAACCTTGAGTGCCAGGCAGAGAGATTTAGTTATAAGCACCTGAGACCTTCTCTTGACGCAAACACCAATTTGATCCCTCCCACTTCAGATGTCTTTGCCTGCTGGGAAGTCTGGTTTTTTAGAGGCAACTGCAGATTTTCAGGGGGTGGTTTGTGAATGGTGTCTTCTTCCTGGCTTTGGGCATGATGACGGTTGTAGCTTTGCTAAATATAACCAAATCTAGAATTCAGAAATGAAGTCCAGAATAAGCAATTGCCATGGTCAAACTCTTTCTTTCAGTCTTTCTAACAAAGTCAAGCTCACTTAATAAGAAATAATAATGAAGAGAGAGCAGCAGTTTCACATGGCTTTTGAGTGGGAGGGTATGAGGGGT